GGCCCTTCGTCCCCCTTGCAGATCCCAATCTGTACGGCTGCCACACCAACGTGACCATGTGCGGGGATGAGGCCAAGTGCATCCAGTCCCAGACGACCGTCTACTGCACCTGCCGCAGCGGCTTCCAGAAAGCACCTGACAAAAACACCTGCCAAGGTACCAGGCCGCTGGGTGCAGGGCTGTGCCGGGGGGGAGGCCAGGACGGAGCCCGGGGCTCTGCTGGACTGCAGGAGGAACCATGCTCCCCACGGACACGGGGCGGGTTCAAGGAATGGGGGGGGTTGCCTGGTGGTAGCACACTCCCAGGGCCACGCCCGGCGGTGACCACCAGAGCCACTGCCTTTCCGGGTCGTTCTTCTGAAGGAGACAAGGCCAAGATTTCCCAGAATGCCCAGGGACTCTGGGGAAGAGGGGCCTGGTTTTCAGATGGCAGGTGCCAGGCATAGGACCCAGGTGTCCTGAGTCCCAGTCGAGTGCTTCGCCCGCTGGACCTCGGAGGCACGTCCCGTGAACGCCGCCCAGGTGGGGAGCAGCTGACTGGCACCCTGACCTTGGCCTGGCGGACGGCACTGGCAGTTCGGGCACCACGTGGCATCTCAGCACCCTCTAATCTGTTATTCACCCCTGTGCCCGGAGCTCTCCGCAGACGGCCCATCCCTGGCCCAGCCTCGTCACCCCCAAGTGGCTGCCGCTGCCTCCCTGCTTTGGGGAGCTGCCATGCTTAGCAGCTGGGGGGCATGATCCCCGGTGCCAGCACCAGGAGAGAGCTCCGCTGCCTGGCCGGAGCTGGGGTGCTCACGAGGGTGGTGAATGCAGACACCCCCAGACCTTTGGCCTCAGCCCACCTTCCCCTGGAGCCCTGAGCTGTTATGTGCCAGCCCATGGTTACCGTGAGGGGCTGTATCGCCCGCCCCCGCGCGGCGCCCTCTGCTCTCAGGTAGGACTGCCCTGGGGTGGGCCCCCCGCCCCGTCGCAGCTCCCCCGGCCCCTCACGGCCTGTCTGCCTCTGATCCCCGCCCAGACATCAACGAGTGCTCGACGTTCGGGACCTGCTCCCAGATCTGCAACAACACCAAGGGGTCCCACGTCTGCAGCTGCGCCCGCAACTTCATGAAGACCCATCACACGTGCAAGGCGGAAGGTATGGGGGGCGCAGGCGGTTTGGATACGTCTCCCTGGGACCCCAGCTCCCCTCTCTCCAGCCGTCTTAAACCCTTCCCGTCCCTGCGCCCCCAGCATCTGTCCCTCCCGGCCCCAGGCAGGAGCCACGCGGGACGCGCCCCATGTCGGGAGGCCGCTGGGCTCCACCCTGGCCCCTCCGCCCGGCCCTGACCGCTGGAATGAGCCAGAGCCGCAGCTCAGTCCCGCTGCCCAGAGCTGGCCGAGCCCGCCCCCTCCTAGCGGGCACATCCCCTGTGCCCCCTCAGTGCTGCACCCCACTGGGCCCCCAGCCGACAGCTCTCCCCCATGCAGGCTCGGAGCAGCAGATCCTGTACATCGCCGACGACAACAAGATCCGCAGCATGTACCCCTTCAACCCCAACTCGGCCTACGAGCCGGCCTTTCAGGGCGACGAGAACGTGCGCATCGACGCCATGGACATCTACGTCAAGGGCAACAAAATCTACTGGACCAACTGGCACACGGGCAAGATCTCCTACCGCGAGCTGCCGTCCTCCGCCGCCTCCACCGCCTCCAACCGCAACCGCCGGCAGCTGGACGGGGGCGTCACCCACCTCAATGTGAGCGGGCGCTCGGGGCTCCGGGGGGCCGGGGCGAGCCGGGCCAGGGCGCTAAGGCCCCGCCTCTCTCTGCCTTCCAGATCTCGGGGCTCAAGATGCCGCGGGGCATCGCCGTGGACTGGGTGGCCGGGAACGTCTACTGGACGGACTCCGGGCGCGACGTCATCGAGGTGGCGCAGATGAAGGGCGCCAACCGCAAGACACTGATCTCGGGCATGATCGACGAGCCCCACGCCATCGTGGTCGACCCGCTCCGAGGGTATGAGACGTCCCTGCCCCGTCCAGACCCCCTGTCCCACCCCCTGCCCTTCATTTGCACCCGCACACCAGCCTCATATCCAGCCCCCCACATCTGCCACCACCCTCCCCCATGGCACGTGCTCCCCATTGCCAGCTGGGAAGGCCCCCATCTTACCCCAGGGCAGTCTCAGCTCGCCCCAGTGGGTGTCTGGGTATCCACCTGGGGCTGTGGGTGGGAGGATCCCTGCTGGGCGTGAGTGCCCAGGGCCCTGGCACTGTGGGGCGATGGGGTAACTGCCATGGGGAGGCGCCAAGGTCCCCCCCTCGGGGCTGGTGCGGATTAACCCTTCGAGGGCCCCAGCGCGCTGCCGGCTCCATCCCTCATCTCCGCAGCACAAACAGGCCGTTGAGGTCAGTGGGGCTGCGGGCACGGGGCACTGCAGTGTCGGGGGCTGGGCTCAGAGCCCCCCGCCAGCAGCCTGTGCGCCAGGGGCCGTGCCTCTCCGCCCCTCCCCCAGGGACCCACTCCGCCAAGGCCTTTCCTCTCTTCACAGGACCATGTACTGGTCCGACTGGGGCAACCACCCCAAGATCGAGAAGGCCGCGATGGACGGGACCATGAGGGAGACGCTGGTGCAGGACAACATCCAGTGGCCGACAGGTGAGCAGGGCCGGGCACGGCGGGCGGGGCAGGGGGTCCCCTGGCACCCAGCGAGGGTTCAGGCAGATAGTGGGCTCTGGAGTGAGGGCACCGGGCCAGGACTCCTGGGTTCTCTTCCCAGCTCTGCCACCGTGTGACCTGGGGTAGGTTGCTTTGTGACTCGGTTTCCCTCGTCTGTAACCAATGCCCGTACGAAGCGCTTGGGGATCTGGAGAATCTAGTAACACCCCACGTCTGCGCGATCTGCCCTCTTCCTGGGGGATCCGCAACTGGGGACTCCGGGAGCTGGGCCCTGCTGCCGTCCAGCCCGTCTGGGGGTGTCTGGCCGGCCGTGCTGCAGCCCACTTCCCAGCAGTGCCCACGACTCACCTGCCGTGTGGAGCTGCCCGGCTGGGCTGCTAGAGCTGCTGCGGCCGAGGGGATCTCAGCGCGTGTCTCCCCGCAGGCCTGGCTGTCGACTATCACAACGAGCGGCTGTACTGGGCCGACGCCAAGCTCTCCGTCATTGGCAGCATCCGTTTCAACGGCACCGACCCCGTCGTGGCCATCGATAACAAGAAAGGTGAGAGGCCGCTGCAGAGAGCCGGGCTGGGCTGGGGCGGGGGAGGTCTCCTTAGGACGGGCAGCCACCCCCCACCCCCTCCCAGCACCCCGTCCTGGCTGGGGACCAGCGGCCTAGCTGAGCCGGGGCGCGGGGATCTGGCATCGGGTCTCCAGAGTGCACCATGAGACAGAGGGAACGGAGCTGTTCCTTCACTGCCCACAAGGGGTCACCAGTGGGCAGCTGCAGAAGAGCCCCGCCCCCAGAGCTCCCCCCTCTACTTAGCCAATCATGCTGCGTCCCCTGTGTCCTGCCCCGTTCCAGCAGGAGGCCTGATACCGGGGTAGAGGGGCCCTTGGCCAGACACACGGCAGGTATCCGGTTACAGCTGCGCCCTGAGCTGCAGGGCCGGCCTCTGACTCCGCGCCCCTCCCGCCCTGTCCCCCCAGGACTGAGCCACCCCTTCAGCATCGACATCTTTGAGGATTACATCTACGGCGTCACCTACATTAACAACCGCATCTTCAAGATCCACAAGTTCGGGCACGGGCCCGTCACCAACCTGACGTCTGGGCTGAACCACGCCACCGACGTGGTGCTCTACCACCAATACAAGCAGCCGGACGGTGAGCGCCAGGGCCAGCCGGGGACCCCCCAGGGCTGCTCGGCCTCCTCCGCCCTGCCAGGAGCATGCCCTGGGTTACAGCATTGGACCACCCCCGTCGCCCGAGCTGCAAAGGAAATGGGGGTCACAACCACAGAACAGCCCCCTCCAGTCTGAGCTGGGGCGGCCGGGGCTGCGGGACACAAGGGTGGGCACCTCCGGAGGGTGGTGCTACATGCGCTGGGACGGACGGGGGGTGCTGTGGGGCAGGGGTGCCCGGCTATTTACCCCCCACCCTGCGCTCCCTTCACCCACACACCCCTCCCCTCTCTCTCCCAGTGACCAACCCCTGCGACAGGAAGAAATGCGAGTGGCTCTGCCTTCTGAGCCCTAGCGGCCCCGTCTGCACCTGCCCCAACGGGAAGCGGCTGGACAATGGCACGTGCGTGGTGATCCCCTCGCCCACCGTCTCGCCCGTCGGTACGTGGTGCCACCCGGGGGGGGGGGGGGGGGGGAGCTGCAGCAAGGCCACGCCCCCTCCAACAGGCCACGCCTCCTGAGCACAGCCAGGGGTTGCTGCCCAAGGGGGGGCGCCACTGGGTGGACAGCGCGTCTCCCAGGGTCACAACCTTCCCACTGGCACTGTGAGGGTTAAGATTCCCCCCGGCCCAGTCCGGGGCATTGCTGGTCCACCCAGAGCTGTGTGCCCACCGGGCACGGTACCAGCCCCTCCGCCGGCAGCCTGTCCTCACTCTCACCTCTCCCGCGCTCTCCAGTCCCGACCAGCGACACCTGCGACCTGGTCTGCCTCAACGGGGGCAGCTGCTTCCTGAACGCCCGCAAGCAGGCCAAGTGCCGCTGCCAGCCGCGCTACAACGGCGAGAAGTGCCAGCTGGACCAGTGCTGGGAGTACTGCCAGAATGGGGGCACCTGCGCCGCCTCCCCGTCAGGTATGGGGCACTGCCAGCCAGGGCCGGGAGAGCAGCACCAGGGGAGATGGGCCCGTGGGGCTTGGGAGGGGCACCGGGGTGGGGCCCTGGCTTTGATCCCACAGGGCTGGAGGGGCCGGTTGGTGCGGCTGGGAGCTGTGGGTGCTCAGGGATACAGGGCTGGCTGGGCCGTGCCCCTGAGCCCCCGCACCAGCGTGGGAGGCAGGACCGGGGCAGGGCCGGGGCAGATCCGGCTGCCCTCAGTGCCCAGAGCTGGCCAGAGGGTCCGAAGCCCTGAGGCTCCAGTATCCGCGTCCTAACGAGCGAATCCCGCGGCCCCATCCCGCTGACGCCTTGGCCCCCTTCCCAGGGATGCCGACGTGCCGCTGCCCCACCGGCTTCACCGGGCCCCGGTGCAACCAGCAGGTGTGCGCCGAATACTGCCTGAACAACGGCAGCTGTAGCGTCAACCTGGGCAACCAACCCAACTGCCGCTGCCCGGCCGGCTTCCTCGGCGACCGCTGCCAGTACCGTGAGTGGGGCGAGCCGGACGCCTGGGTCCTGTCCCCAGCCGGGAGCGGGTGGGGTGTAGTGGTCAGAGCCGGGGGGAGGAGGAGGGGAGTTGGGAGCCAGGACTCCTGGGTTCTCTCCCCAGAGGTGGGGAGTGGGGTCTAGTGGTCGGTCAGAGAGGGAGGGGTGGGGTTGGGAGCCAGGACTCCTGGGTTCTCTCCCCAGCTGGGATGGGCCCTGCTGCTCCCGCCACTCCTCCCTCCCACCGCCCACCCTGTCCCCCACAGGCCAGTGCTTCGACTACTGTGAGAACGAGGGCGTGTGCCAGCTGGCAGCCGGCGGCGCCAAGCAGTGCCGCTGCCTGCCGCAGTACGAGGGTGCCCGCTGCCAGGTCAGCAAGTGCTCCCGCTGCCAGGAGGGCAAGTGCAACATCAACAGGCAGAGCGGCGAGGTCACTTGCACGTAGGTGTCCGCGGGGCTGGTGCGGCCCCGGGCAGCTCAGTCCTCGGGCCCAGGCATGCCTGGCGTCTAGGGGCAGCTGAGCCTGCCGGGGGGGGGACTGTGATGGGGGCGGCGCTAGGAGAACAGAGGCACCGAGCTGCTCTGCCCAGAACAGCGCCCTGGTGATCGGGGGGCATGGAGGGGGGCTGGCTCTGTGCCCTGCCAGCCCCCCCGGAGAGCCCTGGCGCCCTGCTCCCTGGCTGCAGCCATGCTAGGGGGAGCTGGGCTGGGCACCTCGAGGATTCAGGGGGTGTGCGCTGACCATGCCCCATCTCTGCCCCACAGCTGAGGGGGGCAGTGCGGGGGTGCATATGCTGACCCCACCCTGACTCTGCCCCACAGCTGGGGGGAGGGGGGGCTGGGGCAGTGGTGGGCATGCAGAGGGTTCGGTGTGCATGCGCTGACACCCCCTCCATCTCTGCCCTACAGCTGGGGGGGCAGTGGGGGGGCATGAGGAGTGTTTCGGGTGCATGCGCTGACCCTGCCCCATCTCTGCCCTACAGCTGCCCGAATGGCAAGATGGCACCGAGCTGCCTGACCTGCGACAACTACTGCCTGAACGGGGGCACCTGCACCATGAACGGCAGGACGCAGATGCCGGAATGCCAGTAAGCACCGCCCGGCCCGCGGCGTGGGGGTGATGGGGCCGTAGGGCGGCTCTGCCGGCCGGGCACTTCCATGGCAGACACGTGCCCATGGCAAAGCCCCCGTGCAGGGTCCAGCTCAGCCCCCCGTCCTGCCAGGAGCCGCCCGAGCGGGAACTGCCAGGATGTGCCCCCTGCTCCAAATCTCAGCAGAGCCCCCCAGGAATGGGGGGTGTCCCCCCCCACATAGCGGAGGTGGCACGAGTGGCAGGGACATCCGCTCTGCAAGCCCCCCGGTCCAGACGGTCTCCGTGCTCCCCCGCCCACTCCCTCCCCGATCCACGTGCCCCCGCCCCGTGTGCCCCCCATTCCTGCGCTCCGCTCCCCTCTAACCTGCGCTTGGCCTCCCGCCCCGCCAGGTGCGCGACGGATCTGACGGGGCTGCGGTGTGAGGACTTTGGGGTCAGCGAGCAGCAGAGCGGCCGTATGTATATGGGGGGGGGGCATTTCCCTGCCCTCCTGAGGGTCCCCGGGGGGTGGGCGTCTGCACCCACAGAGCCAGCTCATCCCACTGCCCCCCCCCATAGAAATCTCAGAGTCCCTTTCAGCTGGTGAGGGGCTGAGCCCCCCCCGGGTACCTCGGCGCCAGGCCTGGATCACCCCAGACAATGGGGAGCCCACCCCCGCCCCATGCCCCGGATCGCCCCAGAAAGTGGGGAGCCCACCCATGCCCCGGATCGCCCCAGACAGTGGGGAGCCCACCCCCACCCCATGAGCCAGGCCCGGGGAGGGTCGGGGGCTCCCCAGCCGCGCCCTGACGTGCCGCCTGTCCCTGCCGCCCCAGGAACGGCCTCCATCGTCATCCCCATCGTATTGCTGCTGCTCATCCTGCTGTTGGGCCTGGCGGTCTTCTGGTACAAGCGGCGGGTTAAAGGGTGAGTCGGGGGCCGGGGGGGAGGGGTTACCGGGCTGGGGGGACCTGGCCTGGGCCGGGGGGGAGGGGTTACCGGGCCGGGGGGCAGGTTGGGGGGACCTGGCCTGGGCCAGGGGGGGAGGGGTTACCGGGCCGGGGGGCGGGTTGGGGATTCCTGGCCCTGGGCCGGGAGCTGAGATTCTAGTCAGGGGGTCACCTGGCTGTGGGGCCCTGCCCCTGTGATATCGATGGCCCTCTCCCTGCAGCATGAGGCTCCCCAAGCCCTTTGCCCCACACACTGCCCCCCACCCCCCGGCAGGCACCTGCCTCTGCCCCCCATGCCCAGCGCTAACCCTGTGCTCGCCCCGTGCTCCCCAGCGCCAAAGGCTTCCAGCACCAGCGGATGACGAACGGCGCCATGAACGTGGAGATCGGGAACCCCACCTACAAGATGTACGAGGGGGAGCCGGAGGACGACGTGGGGGAGCTACTGGACGCCGACTTCGCCCTGGACCCGGACAAGGTGAGGGTGGGGGCGGGGGACGGAGCCGACCCCATGGGAACCCCGCAGCAGGGACGCCAGAGGAGAAGGGGGGGGACAGTGGGAGACACCCCCCCCCTGGGGACCTTCTGTTCCCCCCTCTCCTCACCCCTCGCTCTCCCCCCCTCAGCCCACCAACTTTACCAACCCCGTCTACGCCACCCTCTACATGGGAGCCCACAACAGCCGGAACTCGCTGGCCAGCACGGACGAGAAGCGGGAGCTGCTGTCGCGGGGCGCGGACGACGACCTGGCTGACCCGCTGGCATAGGGGGCAGGGACAGGGGGGGGTCGGGCAACCCCCTAGCACAGGGGGCAGAGACGGGGGGAGGGGGCTGCGGTGCCGCCGGTTTGGAAAAGAAGCCAATCAAGAGACAAGCGGGGGGGAGGGGGGGCGACAGACACTGTATAAATGTACAAATGAAGGATTATTACTTTTATATGTGAGCAGTATTATTACTTGTCTATTCCCCGGGCCAGGCTCCCACCACCCCCGTGGGACGAGCCGGCATCTCGGAGCGGGCACAGCGAGGGGCTGAAGCCGGGGGGGTGTCGGAGCGGGCACAGCGAGGGGTTAAAGTGGGGGGGGATACCCGGCTTGTCTCCATAGCGCTGGGGAGCTGGGTCCAAGGCTGTTGGGGGGATCCCCCCCTTGGCTGGGGGGGGGGGTGCGTGGCAGCATTAACCCTGCGATCGCCCCCCCGCTGCAGTTGAAACCTGCCGCAGTTGGGTCCTGGTGGGTTTCGCCCCCCCGGGGCACCGTGTCCAGCCCCCCCACCCCGAGCTACGAACAAATCAGTCTCCGAGGCCCCGGTGCCCCGCCCCCCCCCCCCCCGCAACACGCAGCCCCCTCCCCCACCTGCCAGCAGCTGCAGGGGGAGGAGCCAGATGGAGAGCTCCTCCCCCTTGTCCTCAGCCCCGCCCCTCCCATCCGCCATTGCAATCCTGTCCCACCAATCCGTTCCCTCGCTCCAACCTCACCAATCACCCTCCTTCCCGCCCAGGCTCCCATCCAACCAATCACCTTCCTTTCCTGCTCCCATCCCACCAATCACCTTCCTTCCCGCCCAGGCTCCTATCCAACCAATCACCTGCCCCAGAGCACTGTCTAGGTGGGATCCCCTTTTCCCTCTCCCCCCCCCACCCCCGGCACTGATTCCCGGGAGGGGGGCGCGGCTCCTTCGGGGCTGGGGGTGTTTGGGGGCCTGCACCCCTGGGCCCCGTGGCTGGAGCTGGGGCCGCTGCCTGGGTCTCCCCTGCCGGGGGCAGGAGGTTCCTTTCCTTTGCGCCTAGCGCCATGTTTAGTGCATGCTCCTGCGGGCAAAGGGGGGGCCCAGGCACCGCGCCGGGCACCCCGCTCCCCAGGGGCTGCCGCCGGCCCGCCCCAGCTTCATCTCCACTCGTTTCTCCCACAGGCATTTTTTTTTAAACCGAATCAAATGACCTAGCTTTTCTAGTAGGGACGGGATACGCCTGTGGGGGGTGGGGCCCCCGGCCGTTGGCGGGGGGGCGCCTTTTCATAACTTTTGCTGGATTACTTTACAACTAAACACAGAGATTGTTATAAATAAAATTTTTAAAAACTGAGGCCTGGCTCCTGTTGCTTTGGGGGGGGGGGTTAATGATCCAGTGGCTCAGGAGAACTGTTACAGCAGCGCCAAGTGGTTCCACCTGGGATTGGGGCCACGTTGTCCCAGCTGCTACAGACACAGGGTGATGGCCCCCGCCCTGTCAGGCCAGAGCCCGGTCGTGACGACCCCGGGCACGAGACGGCCCTCGCCCCGTCACGCCAGAGCCCGGTGGTGCTGACCCCGGGCACAAGACAGCCCTCGCCCCGTCACGCCAGAGCCCGGTGGTGCCGACCCCGGGCACGAGACGGCCCTCGCCCCGTCAGGCCAGAGCCCGGTGGTGCCGACCCCGGGCACGAGACGGCCCCCGCCTGTCAGGCCAGAGCCCGGTCGTGCTGACCCCGGGCACGAGACGGCCCCCGCCTGTCAGGCCAGAGCCCGGTCGTGCTGACCCCGGGCACGAGACGGCCCCCGCCCCGTCAGATCAGAGCTGGCTGGGGAAAGAGGGAGGCCCAGACCCGGAGTCCCCGGGCAACGCTCGGGAACTGCTCCCTACCAAGCCAGTCAGGACTCTGGTGAAGTCTCCTCTCTTGGAGCAGACTGGCTCCAGGGCAAGAAGCTCCCACGGCTTCACCTTCCTGGGTCTGATCTCGGAGCATTCAGCATCCTCTGCCCCTCCGTGCACTTCCCACAGCGAGTCTGCACCGGCGGGGTCCTGGGGCAGCCAGAGGGCCCTGCCCCCCAACTCCGCAGCCAGACGTGACTCTCAGCCAGACGGTAACACAGAAGGGTTATTAGACGACAGGAACATGGTCCAAACAAAGCTTGTAGGTACAGAGAACAGGACCCCTCAATCGGGTCCATCTTGGGGGCAAGGAGACCAGAGCCCTGTCTGGAACCCTTTCATTTCCCCAGCCAGCTCCAAACTGAAACTCGCCAGCCCCTCCTCTGCCTTTGTCTCTTCCCCGGGCCAGGAGGCCACCTGATCCCTTTGTTCTTCAACACCTTCAGTTGGCCCCTTGCAGGGGAGGGGCCCAGGCCACCAGTTGCCAGGAGACGGGGCGTCGGCCATTCTCTGTGCAGACACCATCACACTGGCCCTCTAGGGCTCTGCAACAATCACACACCCTTATTCCACCACCTAGACACTCTAGAAATGCATAGGGGAAACTGAGGCACCCACACAGTATTCAGAGAAAACATTAAGAACATTCCCACTTCGTCACAGGGGAGCAGGAAGCGGTGGGGGCGGGGGAAAGTAGGAGAGATGGGTCCTAGCGACTCCTGGGTGAATGCAGCTCTGGTTTAGTGGTGCAAATCTGCCCTTACTTGGTACTGCCACAAGGGGGCAGCAGCCCCCCATTGTCTCTCCCTTCCCCATGGCCCCATACGGCTCCCTGCAGAGGAATCCGGCCCCATCCCAGAGGCCGAGCCCCTGAGCCAGACAGCTTAGCACCAAGGAGCCGAGTAAGTGTCAACCCCCTGGCCCTGTTGCTGGAATATCACCTTAACTCTGCCCCACCGCACCACACCCAGGCCAGCCGCCTGCTCCCCAAACGGGTGACACCCCCTGGGCCCTGGACACACCAGGCTGCTGAGTGTGTGCGCGTGTGTGCGTGCACCAGACGGGTCTGTCCCAGGCTAGTGTCTTCCCACCCGCTGGCTCCTTGCAGCCCCTCTCCTGGCTACTAGCCAGTGTGTGCCTCCGCCCCGCCCCCACCCGTGGGCCCAGTGAACCAGGGCAGCGCGTGGCACAGCCCAAGGGGGGCGTGAAACCCGCAGCCGCGTTCACCCTCGCGCTGGGAGGCGACGGGGACTTGTTCCTGCCGCTGCTGGCTGCAGGCCTCGTGCCGCGGGGTCCCTGCGGTGTCACCTCTGGGAAGAGCGGCCAGCGTCGTATTCCCAAAGGGAGGGGGTTCCTTAGCGCCCCGCCCCACCCCTCTGCCCGATGTTCGTATCACGATGATTATTAACACCACCAAGCAGGATGCCCCTGTGGTCCCGGGGGGGGGGGGGTGTCTTACTGCTTCTTATAGCCCTCAGCAACTCGCAAGTTTGTGCAGAGCTGAGCAAAGAAGGGACGTCCCGTGTACTGAGGGCCTGTCGGCCGCCCAAGCACCGGG